CCTTTTCTTTCCCCCCCCCCCCCCCCCCCCTCCCTGCCTCTCTCTCATAGAGGAAGCGCGGGAGAAGCAACTAGTCGTTCACATCCCTAGTAGCAGCAGCAGTGTTATTTGGTGATTAAATCGGAATGTAAGCCGCTTAGTACCCATCAGCATTTAACAATCTCAAATGCTGCCACTACAGGTTACCACTTCAGGAACAAGAGGCACAACAGACTATCGATACACGTGACAGAAGCACTGTTCGATTCACAGGATGTCCAGCTATGCAGTGTTTTGCAACAAGGCTGTGTTGACACAGCCCTGGTCACTAGAAGTCAGCGTGTGTGAACACTAGTTGTTGTCATTTTTGCTGACAAGATACTTCCGCTCCCTTTTGAGAGAACAAAGGAGTGTTCACACTTGCACTTGCCACAGCAAAACTCTGTCATTTATGGGAGGGGTGTTAAGCAAGTGTAAACAACAAAAGTTTTGTGGATCAAGCGCAAGTGTAGGAAGAGCCTCAGATTTAAGATAGAAGGAACAATTATGATAAATTAATCTGCCAGTTCTAGAGTTAACTGCACCTTTGATCCCCTTCTTGGTCTTTCTTGAGGGCACCCACTTAGATTTTAGGCTTCTTAGCCATCACCACTTTCATGACAGAGACCTGTCTCTCTCTCTCCTTTCAGACTAGGGATTTAGGCTTAAAGTCCCTCTGCCCTTCATTGCAATTTTCCAGCAGGCCTGCCCAGGGTCCAGTACCTGTTAATGCTTTCGCCAGGGCCTATGACACTGTATCCAACATGCAAGCTAGCCACCACAACTGCAATTATTCTTGGATCAAAAGCATTACAGGTGGTTTAGTGAGGGGGGAAATCTACATTCATACTAAAAATGTAGCAGAGTCACTGCCACCCCACCATGGGGCTCTGCAGCGTAAATCTCTCAAACTCCACAACTTAGCTTGGTTCCACATTCACATAAGTTTTTGGCATCAGGAACCAGTCGCTGACTGGACAGTTAAAATATTTCTTTATACAGCTCAGGCCTTTGATCTGCAGTCTAGTGAATCATTGGTCAATGGCCCTCTCCTCAGGACGAAGCTTCAAAAGGACTGGTGTTACACATAACCGGAGTTGCATAATTTGCATTAGCCACTCCCTGGAACCCCACCTAACACTAATTGTCCCCCAAATTGTTGCCTGTCTATACAGTCAATAGCTCTTTGATCTCCTTACATCTCCAGCCCTGACATGTCACAATGACCTCCTGCAAACCACAAAACAATTTTGCCCAGTAATTTCAGCATCAAGCCCACAGCTTCTGGTTGAGCTGTTACAGCTTCTCTCTTAGAAGATCACTCTATCCCAATGGTCTCCAACCTTTTTAAGCATGAGAGCAATCCAAGATCTACCTCATACCCAAATACCCTTGTCCCACCTCCTTTGTGCCCCTTCTCTAAGGCCCTGACCCTATTCCCTCCCTCCCCCATCCTCTCTCACTTTCATCAGGCTGGGACAGAGGGTTGGGGTGCAGGTTCTGGTCTTGGGTTAATGGGATTTGGAGTGTGAGAGGGGTTTGGGGCAGGCAGTTGAGACATAGATGGGGTTCTAAGTGCAGGCTTGGGGCTAGGGTAGGGGCTTAGGATGCAGGAGGGAGTTTGGGATGTGGGCTCCAGCTGAACACTGGTTACCTCAGGTGGCTCTTGAATGGTGGTGCAGTGGAGCTAAGAGAGGCTCACTCCTGTCCTGACCCTGCACCACCAGCAAACTCCATCCCAAGTCCTGCTGTGACCCCTCTGCTCTGTGGAGAAAGGATACAGAGTGGGAAGGGGCACCTTGACATCAGCACCCTCCTCACTCTCTCCTGCCTTTCACAAGAAGCAGGAGGCTCCTGGGGTGGGGGGGTGGGGGTCCACTCCAAGGCAAAGGACCAAACCAGTCAGGATCCCCTGTCAGAGGCGCCAAGATCTACCAGTAGATCCCAATAGACTGCTTGATGACCACTGCTCTCCCCTAATGCAAGGAGTCGAAACGATGGAGACCCCACCATGTCCCTCGGTAAATGCTCCAATGGTAGATTATCCTGAAAAATCTGCACTTTGCCTGGTCTGAATTTGTTCAGCTTCAACTTCCAACAACTGGATTTTGTTAGGCCTTTCTCCATGTGAAATGAAAGATGTTTGCTTTCAAATCTCTTCTCTATAATTAAGTCACCTCCTAACCTTCTCTTGGAGAAACTGAGTAGATTGAAAAATTACATTGGAAAAAATTGGAAAGGGTTCAGGAAGACCAAATGAAAGATTTGAGACTGGGAAAACATGGCTTTTTGGTGAGAATTAAGAATATCAATCTCCACTAATAGTCACACTAAACCTGTCCAGAGTCATATAAATACCTCCCGCTCTCTAATCTGTGTTCACCTGCTTATACATCCAAAAAATAGAGATGTGAATGGTTAATGGGTGAGGCTTACCAGTTATGGTTAACCAATGGCAGAGGAGAGGTGAGGGAGGTGCCCAGCCCCCTTTAATCAATTAACTGGTTAAACAAAGTTTAACCAGTTAACTAATTAAAAAAGGATTTTACATCCCTACAAAAGATCACATTAGCTCTTAGCCAGTGCACTCATTACACAGATTCTTTCAAAGTCACTGCTTTCCAAAATACAGTTTCCCATTTTATAATTGTGACCAAGATACTATTCCTAGGGACGTGATTCATGCATTAAAATGCATGTTGTTCAAGTAAACCCGGCTTACCAAGAGACAAATCGCTCTATAGAACTAACCTGTCAGTATTCAGTACTTCACTAAATTGTGTCAGCTACACACTTTTCCAGCAGGAGTTTTATACTTTCTTCCAGATCATAAAATATTAAATAGATGGGGCCAGGACTCTGCTCAGAACAGCCCCACTGGATGGGGATGCTCATTTACAATTATTTTATGAACAGTTTAAATGCATTTCATCCCTTTAAGAGGCAGTGGGTTGAAATCAAAAGGAAGTATTTGCTCACACAATGCAGTCAACTTGAGGGACGCTTTGCCAGAGGGTGTTGTGAAGGCCAAGACTATAACAGGGCTCAAAAAAAAAAAAGAGCTAGATAAATTCATGGAGGACAGGTCCATCAACGGATATTAGCTGGGATGGTGTCCTTCGCCTCTATCTGCCTAAAGTTGGGAATGGGTAATACAGGATGGATCACTTGGCCTGTTCTGTTCTTTCCCTCTGGGGCCCCTGGCATTGGCCACTGTTGGAAGACAGGACCAGGGCTAGATGGACCTTTGGTCGGACCTAGTGTGAGCTGAAAATAGCAGCATGTACGTTGAAGATCCAGCTGAGACGTGGACTAGTCACCCAAGCTCAGACTCGGAGTCAAGCCGGCTGAAGAGCCCAAACTACCATCTGAGCATCAACCTTCACACTGCTACTAGCTCAGCTGTCACTCAAACCTGCAAAGTAGACGCTGCCTTACTGCTTCCTCCTGCATCAACCTTTCCATAATTTTGCCAGGGGCCAATGTCATGGCTAACCATAGGTCAGTTAGCTTGAAGGAAAGCCTAGCAATTGTAAAATTCAAGGTTCACATTCTTATTGCTAAATTAGTGTTAATTTAGCGCCCTGACAACTATGGAACTGAACATCAATACCTCACTTCAACCGCCAGCATGAGACAGACAACCTGTGTGTAACTGATCTGATGAGCCAAGTACCAGGTGTGACAAGCTCAATGGACTCCCAATCACCCTGTCCTACTGGGGCAGGTCCTCTGGTCTTCCTCTGAGAAAGCACAGAGTGGGGATTACTGACCTACAGAGGAGCAAAGACACTGAACCAGCTCAGTTCAGCACCCAGGAACACAACCTACAAAAGGGACCAAAACCCCCAATAAATCCATCTTACTCTGTATAAAAGATCACACAGAGGAAGCTAGTATGTTCTCCCGCTTTATCAATGAGAGATATGCACAGTGGTTTCTGTACCCCCTACCCCCATAACAATTATTTACACAGGGCTTGACGATACATGTTTTTATCAAGTATAAAATGTAGGATTTAAATGTTTGCAAGTGAAAACAGTCAGACCAAAATAAGTTACTAAGCCAAAACAAACAAAATATGCCACCTAACCCTAACACACCAAAAAACGTGTTACAGGCACATTCTTACCCTAAACAGGTGTTTTGATCATCTCTTTCACAAGATGAGCAGCCTTCTAGCCTGGGCCCGATCCTTCCACCGTTCAGTCTTAATTGGTCTCAGCAAGCATCTTGGGTGGTAAGAGGGACTCTTTGGCATCTGGCCACACTTCCCCACCCCTTTATGCTCCATTAGCCCAAGGCACATAAGCAGTTATTTCAAAATAATTCCAAGCTGGAGAACTTCTTACTCCGACTCCTATAACCCTCATTGTACAAGTAGTAAGGGAAGTCAAGGGAAAAGCGCACTAACTCAAAATAACTTGTGTAAACAGTGCCAAGTCGAAAGAAACTATTTCGATTTTAACTACAAAATTAGCATAGCTGAAGCTACGTAGCTTGTTTTGAGTTTAGCCCTGCTGTGTAGATGTGCCCTTTGAACGCACAACAAGAAATGGATCACTTGATGATTACATGTTCTGTTCACTCCTCTGAAGAACCTGGCACTGCCACTGTCAGAAGATAGGAAACTGGGCTAGACAGACCACTGATCTGATGTAGTATGGCGTTCTTATGTTCTCAAAAGTCTTCATCACACAAGTAATGTATCTATTTAGCTTTATACTACATAGAACAGCGCCATCCCAAGCCCCCCATCCTCACTCGTGCTCTAAAATACAATGCATGCACAAAGAGTTAGCACTAGGGATGTGAAATCCCATATAACTAGTTAAATGTGACATTTACTTCATGTTTCATCGGTTAACCAATTAAGGCAGGCTGGAGCACCATGCATTGTTGCCACAGCCAGGGGCTGCTCTGGATGCCCAGAAAGGCCCCTGCTTGCAGCGGGCCCTGCAGGGCTGGAGCATCTCCCTACCCACAGTAGGGAGCTTTCACATCCCTAGTTATCAGAGATCGCACTAGCTTGGCGCAGTATGAACAACCACGGCCAGAGTCTTCAATCAGCAAGAATCAATGACTCATCAGTTCCGAACTGCTTTCCTACTGGGATCAGAACAAATACTTAACTATGAACCTTTTTCAGTTATCTAGTGATCAGTACTAAGGATGGTGCCAATCTCTCAGTGTCCTGATTTGAAACAAAAACATGATTCAATGTCTAACTTTAGAACACTACATTTACCCATTTTTAAAATATTTTTACAAAACCAAAGACCCCTCTGAAGATCTTAGATTCCAAAGATAGTATATACCCTCTCGTCACTCTGATGTTTGTTAGATATAGTTGTACGGAATAGGGATAAGCGGCGAGGAGTCCTGTGGCACCTTATAGAATAGGGATGTAATAGTGTCGTCAATTAACCAATTAGCAAAAGCTTATAGGTTAATGCTATAGACCAGTGTTTCCGCAGAACCCTGGGGTTCTGGGAAGCAAAAGTAAGGGTTCCGCAAGAACTTCATTACTTCTCTCCCTCCCCCCCCAAAGAGACAGAGAGGTATCGGCACACAAAGATGCTGGATGCTTCTCTGGTTTCCCACCGGCTTTCAGACACCTCCTCTCCCCCCGCTGCCACTCTGGGTTCCCAAAGCCTGCAAGTCTCCCTGGTCCATTCTGCCCCCGCCCGCCTTTTATTTTGTGCTCGACACATTTTTCCTGGTGGGCCCCCCCTTGACAAATCTTCCCCCCAGCTGAAGGGGTTCCTTGAAATTCTTCTGAGTTTAAAAGGGTTCCGTGGCCAAATAAGATTGGGACACACTGCTGAAGACTAAACGCACCGCACCCCTTGCCCCCCCGACTTGCCAGTAAATGTTTTAGCAGGCTGGCTGTCCTGGCTTGAAATGGGTCTGGGACCTACCCCTGCTGCGGCTCTGCATTTAAAGTGTATTAGGAGCCAGGCAGGCAGGAAGGCAGCCTGGTTCAGGTCCAGGAGCTCAGACCCCCCTCAGACAGGGGCTGCTGCCATCCTATCCTGCTGCCTCTTTATCAAAGGTAGCAGCAGAGGGCAACAGCTGTCTGCGAAATGAGCTGGTTTTTAAACTGCCTCCCCTCGTGGATCAGCTCCTGCCTGGCACCCTGTGCTGATGCCTCTGATACAGGTAGCAACGCGAAGTGACAGGGGGCTCTTCAGGAGTGGGGCTGGAGCACACTGGCTGCCGGTCCCGCCCCCACGGACTACAGAATAGTGGACTAACCGATAAGAATTTTTGAGATTACTCAACTATTTGATTAACTGATATTTAACTTTCCTAGTACAGTAGTCATTGCCAGTTGCTGATATATGCCCAAGGTCTAAGACCTAGAATTTTTGGGGTATCCCTCACAGCTTGTCTTTCTTGTTAAGGGAATTATGCTGCATAGCATTTAGGCAATCAACATGCTTCTGTTAAACAGACTAGGTTTAAAGTTGAACATTTAGTTCAAACTCGAACGTGAAAGACAGCAAACCAGCTCCATGATTCTCTAAGGGTATGTCTACACTTTATTCCTCTCTCTCGGGAGAGGAATGCAAATGTAGACACCCGAAATTGCAACTGCAGTAAGGATTTAAATATCCCATGCTTCATTTGCATAATCGCACTATGGCTCTATTTCGCAATAGTACTATTTTGCAGGGAGAAAAAGGGGAGGGAGTTTATTTCGACAGAAAACCCTTCCCTCAAAATAACCCTTACTCATTTTGAGGAGTAAGGGTTATTTTGAGAGAAGGGTTTTCTCCTGAAATAACCACATCTAAACAGAGTTTTTTATTTCGAAATAGCACCCATCCCTGAATACTTAAATCCTGGCTTCATTTACAATTTTGAATGTCTACATTTGCATCCCTCGCTCAAAAGAGGGTGCAAGTGTAGACACACCTAATAGATTGGTGCCATTTTAACCCTCTGAGCACTAGCTAATACTAAAAGAAACAATGAAGGACTGCCTAGGTTTACAAGAGACACCACTAAAGTAAAGACACGTTTCTGCCCTGTGGGAGATAAGGAATGCCAAGACGGGGCTATTTGGAAAAAGTTCAACCACTCAAACTTCCCTCAGTGCACACCTCTTCCCCAGTTGCTGC